CATATATATTTATATTTGGGAATGCTTAGTTAAACTTGGCTCCTCCCTTTTCCACTACGTGTATCACCCTTAACGCAATTTCGTTTAACTTATATTCATTATTGTAGTGAATTTAGATGTTCTGCGGGGTAAGTTTATTTGAAAAAGCCCTGTGGCTGGATAATTTTGGTGGGTTATTAACGATAGTTTTGTTGACGGTATTAATAGCATTAGGGTGATGCATCAATGTAGTGTGTTACAAATTAAATTCGCTTTGTTGCCTATCTTCATCGTTGAATTTTGCTCGCATGAATTGTTATAAGCGGGCACAACTGATCATCCATCACTCTCGTCCCGTTAATAGTCGACTTTTTGAGGTGAACTGCGCTACTGCCCGCATACACACCAAGAAGCCGAAGGTCGCACCCGGTGAGCCGAAAATGTTTTTATTTTCTTGTTTTGCATATTTATTTAATAATTTTTTATTTTTTGAAGATTTAACGCCGCACCCTGATAGTCTTTCAAAACGCGCTTCTTTGCATGTAATTATCATCATAGAAATGCGTTGCTTCAGTTGCTGTGCACAGATCTTTGAAAAGTCTTTGCCGTATTTTATTTATTTATTTTTTTTAATTTTTACTTCAAATGTGTTCCTTCTATTTTTGAGTTGCTTGGATTCAAAATGTTTCGTATACTACATAGATGATGCAGGTTTTTTCTTTCAGAAAAGTGTGTTCCTTGGATTTTTGTGCTAAAGCCTGGGTGATATTCTGTAAAAATTTAATTTATTTTTCTAGCTTTACTTGTCTTGCTTCCAAGATATATGTTGACGTTTTAGCGTTTGTTGTTGGGATGTGATTGGTAACATACATTTTTTTATTTACATTAGTAATTTTTCTATGAAACTCATCAGGTATTGAAACGACGATATTCTGCATGAAACAGAAATGGTTGATTTCTTAAGTTGCTCGACCACTGTTTCTGTTTTTTGGTATTTGCGAAGTTGGTTTACAGGAATTTAGCTATTGGTTTCAAGCGGTTAAATTGGGTTGTGAAGAGATTATAGTTGGATGAACTACATTGTGTAAAGTATGGTGTGTGTGAAAATGAGGTAATGCAGTTTTTGAAATCTGTTAATTACTGTATTTTTTTCGGCATGATCTGTTCATTAAATATATTTCAGTGACTAATCAGTGATTTGTAACAACAAGGCGCGTCTGCATTTTCCTTACTTTTTATTTTCAGTTAGTGGTTTTGTTGAAAAGCGTGTTTGTCTGAAGCAGCGTATTTCTGTTTCATTCTTGCTCGCTTAATTGGAAATAAGCTTAGCGTTCTCACACATTCTGTCGCTACCGCTACAGCATGAAGTTTTTAAAAAAAGAACTACAGTTATAAAAATGTTGTCTTACAAATGTACCGTTCTGCATGAAACTACAAATCTCAGTTCTACCAATGAGCGTAATCGCCGCTTTTCATTTCAGGAACACCTTTCCTGAACTTGTTTTTTATTTCTTCTGCATTTAATCGTGGGATGTCCTCTTAAGCGGCGTAATTCTTTGAGCTGTCTTTGGTTAATGCTGCTTTTCTACTGAAGGCTATGTGTATATGCGTTGTATTAGTACAGTGACACGGAACGTTACATTTCTACCCGTTTTGTACGTGTTCATCAGTGAATTGATTTACCCATTTTTTCAATTTTGCATTTTCTAACTACTACATTAAGGAAGAAAATTTTGTGTCGTTTTTGGCATGTAGTTTTTAGCTTTTCATTAGTTTTTCTTTGTTTTGATTGATATTATCATGATTAGTTGCTGATAGTGAAGATACGGCTTGAAAATATTACTAGTAGAAGAAACTACAGTCTTGAATACCGAGTTTACCGCGGGTGCTTGCTGTTGTTGTTGTTGTTGTTGTGGATATTCAGTCTTAGGGTGAAAGGACGCTGTCATGCGGGTTAAGATTAACGCTCTGAGGGTTTTTGCTCTAACTTTTTTTATTTTTTTTCATCTGAAAAAATATCATTGATGGTTATGTCCAGTTGTCTTGAGAAAGAGTTTGCTAAAATAACAAATCAAAAAGGAACTGAGAAGAAGAATAGGGAAAGAGCTAAGTTTTTTTAAATTTTTAAATTGTGGGGATTTTGAGAAGAATAGTGTGATTTTACTAGGGAGTCAAAAACGACATAAGCTTTTTTTTCATCATGCAGAGTCTTTGTTTATATTTCTTCTTATATTGTTTTTGAATTTTGAAAGTTCTTAGTTTTTGCTAGCTAATTCTTGAAACTAGGGAAACAGGAAAGAAAATTTAATGGTGGAAATGGAATTCCTCGCCGATAAATGTGCTTTCAAACAACTAACCGAATGCGGCACCGCAGTAGATCCGTTGTTTGTTTTTGACAGTTTCTGGTCACCTAGTAGGCTTGAAACCCTTGGTTAAAAATGTTGTCGTTTGCAGTTCGTTTGTTGTCTAGGATGTTATTCATTTATGGACTCACTGACCAGGCACTTAAACTAATTTTCTGGTGCTCTACTAATGAGAATAATAAGTTTTATGCTCATATGAAATAGTGCTCTTTTTCACCACTTAAGTTTGGCTAGCCTGCTCTGATTACACTGATTGCCACTTGTGGTTTCTGATGCCTTCTTGTTCAAGAACTCTATTTCTAAGTTTTTTTTTTAATAGTCAGAGTGGTTTTTGATTAACTCACCAGTGAGGTTCGTCTATTGTTCTCTCTTTCGTAACTTGACAACTTTGTAGTTATATGTTGAAATTGTAATCTTAACCAAATGATGTTTAATTGAGTTCGTATTGCTACATATAAGTGAGGGAATCAGCAGTAAAGTTGTTACAACCCTTTTCCTCCTCTCCATTATCTGATTCTTACTTAAAGCTATGCAAACGGTTAGTTTCCTATATTACCGTGTGTCACATGAACTTTTGGGCTTTTTAACGAAGTAGTTCTCATTGTGGTACGGTAGCAACGGTACGAAGTGAATTTTAGAGTTAAACATCTGAAGATTACATCAAGCTTTAGAATAGGGTTGCTGCAACTTTTTCCTACACATTCTTGCTTGCAAAGTCTTGCGTTGCGCGCCTACCATTCATTTTTTTCTCTTTCTTAATGCCAGCTACCTTGAAAATTTGAAAAGTCACACAGAGTGCAGCTACTAGATGTTTTGTTATACATTTTCGCTATCAGAATGAGTAATTAAAGATTCTTTCAACCAATTTAGAATTTCTCAAGTGAGCTTTTTGTTGATCTCTTAGTTCCAGGTGTTGTGGAAGCAAACTTAGCCGCTGCTGCATTACAAGGTGTAGCGCTTCAGCAAGCTGCAGCAGCTAACCGTGCACTGTACCTACGAAATCCGCTTGCGCAAGCTCTGGCTGTTCGGAATCTGCAAGGGCTGGGTGTACAAGGACAACTTGCTGCATTAGGTGCACAACAACAGCAATTTCCATTTATTGCACCTGCGTTGGCAGCTCAGTTGCAAAACCAAGGACTTTTGATAGGCGCAGGTCAGCTACCACAAGCCGCGCAACAAGTCCAACCGGCTTACGACCCGACCGCTCTTTTAACGGAACAAGCTCGTTTACAGTTAGCAGCTGCTCAAGGTCAGTTATACTCTTAATTTTTACAAAACCTTTGCTATTTTTTTATTGAGCGATCAGACTTTTTTGAACTTTTGGTTTATCGCAAAGAGCCGTATTACCTATCTTTTCAGCAGCAAATCCGCTGGTTGCTGCTGCCGCAGCCCGAAATGTTGCAGTCAGTGGAGTTAGTGGAGCGGCTCCAACGAGTCTCGGCGAGCAGTATCTTGGTTCAGCTCTTTCGGCTGCTTTACCTGGTTATCCGGCTGTTGCAGCGACCTACCGGGCCCTTAATCGTTTTGCACCGTATTAGATTAAGTGAAAGGGATTTTGATTCGATCCTTTCGGAATTTCCAGTTTTCCATCGTTGTTTGTACTGCTAGTAGTTCATGCCTCATAATTATCTTCATCAGCCCTCTGAAGAGTGAAAAAATTTTGAAAAAGTTTTTTTCATATGGAAAATAGGGAACATTTTGCAATGACTGATCTGGTATTAAGGGTGCGTAGAGCATGAACTAGAGTTTCTCATTTTAATTCGTTTGGATCTTTTTTGTTTTGAGTTTTGTACAATGGTTAATTTGTTACCTTGGTGCTAATTATTGTTCTATGGGCGCTTTTGGCAATATTTTTTGACTATGAAAAGATTTTCTGAAATTGTAGTTTGTACAGATGCATTTCTTTTAAATTTTGTTCATGTTTCTTACTTGAATCTCTGTGAAAAGTCAATTTTGCTCGTTTTAAGAATCATTTCTTATGAATAATAATTGGTCTTTATTGTTGCTTCAGATGTAACCAGTTTTTCTATTCTAACTATGGCTTTAATGTTAGTTACAATTACGAGTCGAGTGTTCAAGGACTAATTTTTTCTAAAGCAGTTTTCAAATGCAGGGGAAGAAACTTAGATTTGTGCAGCTTCTTTTTAGGTTTTTTGAAATTTAGTACGCTGCTGTGGTTTTAGATGACTTCACAAGTTTGTCTACTGTTACACGTTTAAGTATGTTCATTTTTAACGTTTACTGCCGTACGCAGTTTGATATGTATTTTAATGCGTATTCGATCGCTTTTATTAAGCAGAAAATTATTTCTTTTATTACCACTTGAGAATAGTCGTATTTT